AACAAGTCCACAGAAAGTATGTATGCTGCAACACGACGAGAAGGTTTTAATGATGTTGTAAGAGGAAGAATTCTATCAGGAAACTATTTCTTGTTGAAACAGTAAGCAGAACCTCTTGAAATTCAAATTTGCCAAGTTGGCAGATTTTTAAGCAAATGGTTCATTGTGACATGGAAAAAAAATTATTCTTAACTAGTGGCTCCTTGCATTTTTATTATTGCTTTAGCTATACAATATGTAGTGAACTGTTAATAATAAATGAAAATGTTTTCCCTGAGTTTTAACAGTGAGCCTCCTAAATTAAATAAGTAAAACAATTTAGTGATAGTTTTTTCCCTACCAGAGTATTATTGGCTTCCATTAGTTAAATTAAGCAAAAATCTCTACCCTGTGGTATGACATTGAAATCATACTGAAGCCATTACTGTTGTTGTGTTAAAAGTTCTGTAGTTGTCGATCTCATTAAAACTGCACAGAAAAACTGCTAGTACATTCTAGCATGGTCTTCTAGAGAAAGCCAAAGATACATCAATTAAATTAACTGTAGCTCTTTGCCTCAGTGTGTAGGGAAAGAGAGTCGCTGGCAGAGGTACTGAACTGATGTCTTTACAGAAGATAGGGTTTTATCCAGCTCACAAATAGAAGCTGGTCCGTGGATCTGTTTTACATTTTTAGCTTTCAGTACTTACCAACAGGCCCAAATTGTGTTAGTAAAAGTGCTGTTTTTCTCTGTCTGAATTTGTTCAGATACTAACAAAAATATTAATCCTGTAATCAGTCTCTGTAGTGCACTTGCTTTGAAGGAGCTCTGTCAGCATGAGTATTCATCAGATGTGACTTCTTAATTGCTCTCAGAGACAGGAATGTTGTCGGTTAATCTGTAACAACCAGCTTTTATGGAATGACGATATTCCTGCCAAGGGTGCTCCTTCTACTTACGACTGCCCAGATCAGCTTTCCTAAGGCTGCTTTAAAATTCACATAGTTAACTCTTTGGTGAAGGAATATACAATTGGCTCCCATTGAGATTGAACAGGAGAGTTGTGTTCCTGTCCACAGTAAATTACTTTTGAAGAGCACAGGGTTCAGAAAGCATTCTTAGAATAAGTAGTAAGGAAAACCCATCTGTGTCTCCTGCAAATGTTGCCTTTTACAATTAATATTTATCTTGCTTTTGAAATCTTTAAAATAACTAAGTGATTGTTCAGGAAGTTCTGTTTAACATCTTTAGACATGACATGGACAAGGGGATCGAGTCCTCCCTCAGCAAGTTTGCAGACGACACCAAGCTGGGTGGGAGTGTTGATCTGCTGGAGGGTAGGACAGCTTTGCGTAGGAATCTGGACAAACTGGATCAATGGGCCAAGTCCAACTGCAAGAGGTTGGACAAGGCCGAGTGCTGGGTCCTGCCCTTGGCTCCCAACAACCCCCTGCAGTGCTACAGGCTGAGGGAAGAGTGGCTGGAAAGCTGCTTGGTGGAAAAGGACCTGGTAGTGCTGGTCAACAGCAGCTGAACATGAGCCAGCAGTGTGCCCAGGTGGCCAAGAAAACCAATGGCATCCTGGCTTTTGTGGCCAGCAGGACAAGGGCAGTGATTTTTCCCTTGTCCTTTGCACTGGTGAGGCCTCACCATGAGTCCTGTGTTCAGTTTTGGGCCCCTCACTACAATAAGGATATCGAGGTGCTGGAGTGAGTCCAGAGGAGGGCAATGGAGCTGGTGAAGGATCTGGAGCACAAGTCTTACAAGAAGTTGAGGAGGGAGCTGGGGTTGTTTAGCCTGGAGAAAAGGAGAGACCTTATCACTCTCTCTGCAACTGCCTGAAAGGAGGTTGTAGCAAGGTGAGGATCAGTCTCTTCTCCAGGTAACAAGTGAAAGGACAAGAGGAGACAACCCTGTGTTGCACCAGGGGAGATCTAGATTGGATATTAGGAAAAATTTCTTCCCTAAAAGAGTTGTCAAGCATTGGAACAGGCTGCCCAGTGAAGTGGTGGAGTCACCATCCCTGGAGATATTTAAAAGATGTGTGGGTGTGGCACTTAGGGACTTTCTGAAGTTAACAGCTAGGCTGATTTCACAAATTATTGTAGAAGAAGATCTAATTCCCATGATATAACTACTTAACTTGAATCTGCTGTTTATTATTGATTATAACCATTTTCATTGCATTTTTTTCAGAATCTTAAATCTTTAGATTAACAAGCAGCATTTGGGCAGTTTCTTTTATTTATAAACACTGTCATGTAGCAGTTGTTAACACATCCTTATCTTTTTTTTCCCCCTTTTTTCTTCCTTTTTCCTTTTTCTTCCTCTTTTTTTCTTCCTTCCCCCTTTCTTCCCCCCATCTTTCCCCCTCTTCTTCCCCTTCTCCCCCATTTCCCTTCTCCCCCCTTTTGCCCCCCCTTTTGCCCCCCCCCTTTGTGCCCCCCTTTGCCCCCCCCTTTTGGCCCCCTCCTTTTATCCCCCCTTTTTGCCCCCCCTTTTGCCCCCCTTTTGCCCCCCCTTTTGCCCCCTTTTGCCCCCCCTTTTCCCTTTTGCCCCCCCTTTTCACTCCTTTTGCCCCCCCTTCACCTCCCTTTTGCCCCCCCTTTCACCTCCCTTTTGCCCCCCCTTTCACCTCCCTTTTCCCTCTCTTCTCCACCCTTTTGTCCCCACCCTTTTTCTCCCCTTTCCCCCCCCTTTTTTCTCGTCTTTCTTTCCTCCTTTCATTCCACTTTTTCTGTTTTCTTTTTTTCTTGTTTTACTTCCTCCTCCTCCTTTTTTCTAATTTTTTTCCTTTCCCAAGTAGTTGTGGGTTTAGATGGCAGTTACTTTTGAAATTGAACTTTCCTGAATTTGAGGATTCCACATTTACCAGTTCTGCATATGAAGTTAGAAGAAACAATAGACATAAAGCTGGGTAATGTGTTTCTTCTTCAGAGTTGTGTAAAGATGGAAATCCATAGACCACATGTTTATGTGAGGGACAAAAAAAGGGTTAGGGAAAAATAAGGTCTTTATAGTATTCTATAGAGAATTATACTACAAACACATACATAGTTTTAAGTCCATTTAGAATCCTCCACCAATGATGGGACTTTTTCATATGCTTCAGGTATCTTGCTGGATTGAATCCTAAATGATTACTTCCTATTTTTCAGGCCTGTTTAGTTCTTTATTGTTTCTAGGTTTTGCTGTGCTGCCCTTCAGTGAAATTAGGTTGGATATCAGGAAAAGGTTTTTCACCAAGAGGGGGGTTGAGCACTTGAACAAGCTCCCCAGGGAAGTGGTCACAGCATCAAGCCTGACAGAGTTCAAGAAGAATTTAGACAACACTTTCAGACACATTTTTGAGTTGTCCTGTGTGGGGCCAGGAGTTGGACTAGATAATCCTAAGGGTCCCTTCCAGCTCAGGATATTCTGATTCTATGAAATTTAATATACAGTTTAGTTTCCAAATGGTCATAAAAGTATTGTTTTGATTTTGTAACGGTTGTTTTGATTTGTAAGGGTTTTGTTTTCCCTTCACTTTTCTTTAGCTGAATGCCCTCATCTCTTCCTTCTCTGACAACTTTGCTGCTATGAGAGCATAAACACCATGTATGGTGACTAAGCATACAGTATATCAAAAACTTAAGTACCAGTGTGAGTCAAAATTTTATCCAAAAGGAATACTGGGCTTGTCTTTTCTACAGTACCTAAGAAATTAGGTTCTGTATTTTAGGAATTAAAGTGTCATGCCCTCATGTCCATATTTTTTTCTAGGAACTATGAGAAGTACTTTGTCAAGGCACAGAAAGTCAGACGTCTCATTGCCAATGACTTTGTGAAGGTTTTCAGGAGCGGTGTTGATGTTTTACTCACTCCTACTACTCTGAGTGATGCAGCACCATATAAGGAATTCATCAAAGAAGACAACAGAACCCGCAGCGCACAAGATGACATCCTGACACAGGCTGCAAACATGGCTGGTGAGTACGGACAGGAATTAAACTATGTTTTCCCCTGCCTAGTAATTTTTAATGTCTGGTCCCTTTAGCTATTTCACCTCTTCTTTAGGATCAAGATATTTCACTCCCATGTTGTAATTCTTACAGTGATAACCAAGTGTAAGGATGGTTTATTAAATGCTTGAAAATGTAAGACTAGATTTTAAAGTGAGGCACTCTGGAGCTGAGTGTGGGCTCCAGGTAAGATGAATCCATTCCAGTTCTGGAGACAAAACTTGAATCTCTTTCTAAGGAGAACTGATTATCTTTTCAGAGATGATGGCTCCTTAAATCAGTCTAATTAATTTCTTGTGATCACCTAGCAGTATCCTTAGTTCATTGACTCAAATTATTTTAGCTAGTCGTTCTCCACTACATAATTTTTCTTCTGGTTCTCTTAGAATTGTTACAAAAATTACTCCAACTACTGTTTAATAGTAAGTCTTTGTATGTGTATCTTTTTTTCCTTCAGGACTGCCAGCCATAAATGTTCCTACAGCTCTTTCAGAGAGAGGCTTGCCAGTTGGGCTTCAGTTCATAGGACGTTCATTCCAGGAAGAGCAGCTTCTCACAGTAGCCAAATGGTTTGAAAAACAAGTACAATTCCCAATGATCCAGCTAGAAGAAGTAAAGGGGCATGACCGTGATGTTTTTCAGCATAAGAAATCTGCTTCTTTTTCATAACACGGGACTTGCTAGTCAGCTAAAGCAAGAAAGCTGTGGGGATGGTCTAAAGATGTATTCTTGCAGTTAATTATCCTTTGCAGAAATAATAATCTGTTTTAAGAAGACCTTATGCAATAATGCAGGATGGAATCATGACACCTTGGTACTCTGTAATTAAGGCAAAGTGAACCATTAAGTAAACATGTTTATGTTATTAAGAACCATTTTTAAATGATATTAAAACCACCAAGTTGAAATTATGTATTTTATGCCTGTGGAACTGATTTTTTTTTCCATCCCCAGAGTGCATCTAAGGTATCTGGCCCATTAAAGAACTAACCTGAGCTTTTGTGTGAAAATTTCATGGTTGCCAAAGGGTTTGGTTTCCTTCTGGAGTGTGGACTTTTGTAATGGCAACAACCAGACAAGCTTTGTTGGAGCAAATGTATTAAGGATCTGTTCACCAAGAGTTAAATACAAAAGGAAACAAGGGAATAACAAAGAATCATAGCATCGTTTAGGTTGGAAAAGACTTTTAAGATCATTGAGTCCAACCCAGCACTGCAAAGTCCACCACTCAGCCGTGTCCCTAGTGCCACATCTACACATCTTTTGTGTGATGCTTATTAAGGTCACTGTGAGAAAACTAAATCAGGCCTGCATTTAGATCCCTATTTTATCAAAATTTCAAGATGTGGAAATATTAGTTCATTTAAAAACATAAAAATATTCCCTACTTCTAGCTAACTCTCATGCAGGAGGTGAAAATAACCTCCAGGTTTACAAATCATGCAGATTACTCTGGTTACGTCCATGTAAAAATGATAAATTCCAGATTTCTTCTGGGAAAAGATGCCTAGTGGTCTTGAGTAGTTGTTTTCCTCTTTCTTCATCACTGTTCTTTATAATCAGCACTTGAAATTAATACTTACTAAGAAAGAGATCGTCTCAGTGTAACTCTCCATAAGAATACTACTACCTATTCCTTCATGGGCAGTCATTCAACACAATAGTAATTTGAACTGAATTTCCAAACGATCAAGTTGTAGACTGGAAGACTTACTAAACAGCTAATAACCTGTTTTGAATGTTGCAGTTTCCATTTCTTGAAAGTTAGAAAAATATGAAGGATGAAGCTTGTGGATTTGTTTTTGCATCAGATTCATTTTCAGTTGTAGTCTACAGCATGCACAGGTGTAAATAGTGTAGGGTGGGGAAAATGACTGAGATGTGGTCCCATATGGAAACATATGGAATCTTCCTGAATTATGTCTTGTCATAGCCTATATTGCCACCCATATAAAACAATAACAACCTTATTTCTAAAAATTGCACAATTGGTGAATTTTCCATACCCCAAAGTGAGTTATATCACACAACTAAAAATCCTACATGACAAAAATTCTAAAAGTGAAATTAAATTCTTCAGCACTAAAAATCAAGATATAGCCTGTTTTCAGCCTGATTCTGTCTGAATTTTTCCACAGAACAGTCTTTGGGGAAATTGCTTTTCTGTCAGTGGGTGATGATGAATTGAAGATCTCAACAGACTTTTTTCGCTGTTGTCTTGTTCAGTAATTTAGATATGCTGTAATCATGCATCTTGTCTTATAGCAGCTTGCTGACCAGAGCTCTTGGTGAGGTTATCCATTTTCCAAGTTGATATACATGGATATATACTTGCAATAGGTGCTCTTTGATCTGTAGTCACGTCCCAAACCAAGACCTACCACTTGCTGTTTCTGAAAGTAAGTCAGTGTCTTTTTCTCAGAGTTTGAGATAAAATTGTGGCTGTGGAGAGCATTCCTGGATGGACATGGAGCAGCTTGGAGTGTTACTGACAAAAGAGAACAAGCAGAGAATTGTGCTTATGCTTGGCAGTCTTTCTCTTAAAACTTCTCTGATACAAAGAGAAATCTGATGGAAAAACTGGATCAAGGCAAAGATCCCACTCCATGTTTCCCAAGCAGCTAGAGGAGGGGTAGGTGAAGGGGAACTGTTCCTGTATCTGAACTACTTTTTCTTAAAGCAGGGCTCTGATTTCAGTCTCCAGAATCCTCTAAACAAGCATTCAGATGACAATAGCAATTGATTGCTCTGAGACAGGTCCTTCAGAGTTTTTTCTCCTGGCAGATTTCTGAACGTACAATAACTGCAGTGAAATACACAGTGGAGAAGGTACAAACCAGACAAACAGACATCCATTCTGCATGGTCTTTCTGTTAGTAGTTGAGACCCATCTTTGAATTAAAGATAGTAGAGACTCGAAAACCAAACTCCTGGGTAAATACTTAAATTTCTGGGCTATCAGATTTCAAAGCAGCCCCAACAACAGTTCTACCCTGCTTCCACTCCTAGCTGGTTTGCATTTTTGGGGACCATATGCTTAATGCTCTTTCTTCCCTTCATTTTCTAAGGCTGGAACTTCACCAAACCTGAGGTAAGAACTTAGGAACCAGCATAGTCAAGCAGCTTCAGGATGTAAGCAAGAGTTCCTTATGTTGTGCAAGAGAATAGCTAAGAGACTTCTGCTGTTCTCATATTAGAAAAACTGTTCAAAGTAGTTCACTCTCAGCCCCTCAGCAGTTCCTGAAGGAGCTTAACACCCCAGCTTACCTGTAAGTGTAAGTGGTTGTGAGGGGTATATTAGAGCTGAGCTTTGTGCAGCTGCTCCCAGGTCACGGTCATGTCTCTGGAGTTATGAACAGAAAAGTTTCTATGCCAGATAGACTCTTAAAACTCTTTGTTACAGGAATTCCAAGGAGCAGGAAGGTCTAGGTATAAAAAAACAAAACAAAAAAACAAAAACGAAACAAAAAATCCCACCTGCCTATACACACATTTTGCACAGCTGCCTTGAAAAACTATTCACTGAAATAATAGAGTTGGAAGTTTCATGACACGAGCAGCATGAGCCACAGCAGGGGGTAAGGTGTAACCTTAGCACACAGTGAGCCCAGATAATTCCAGTGTTTCCTGGAAGGAAACAAAAGCTAGAGCTTTAGCAAACAAGCAATCTGCTCTTAGGTGCAAATTGTTTTTTCTTCAGGTAATGAGAAACTGTAAGAACATTGTATAGTGGAAAAGTAATTTTTGAGAAGAAAATTATCAAGAGGTTTTGCTTAAGATGATTTTAAATGCAATTGCAATTTGATATTGCAGTTTATGTGGTTTCCACATACATGTTTTTCCCTCAACCTCCTTAAGGGCACTCAAAATAAGGAGAAATTCAAAGCAAAATTTAACCTGACTGCTGCTACTTCTCTATTCCCCTATTTCTCAGTTTTTAGGCATTAGGCACTTGTAGTAACTGCAACTTCATTGTAGCTTCTCCTTACATAGTGCTGGTCACTTCTCCGTCACTTTTATGATTCACCTAGGAACTAATCTATCTGTAAAGCTGCAATAGGGAATGGGCTTTGTAGCCTAGTTGGGGTGTCCCACGGGCCTTCCCCTCAGCTCTGCCCCCCAGAATACTGAGAGCAGTACCACTGGACTCGCATACAGATGGGCAACTGAAAAGGAAGGAAGAGGTGTGCACAGCATATCTAAAAATCTCTGCTGGGGTTACATGGCAGTCATACCTCATGTTAAATTGATGCCCATAATGCCACCAGAGAGGGCAAGGAAATCAGCAAAAAAGTCAGAGAAGCAAAAGAGGTTTATCTAATTTTGTTATTTTTCAGTCTGTCTCTAAAATAAAAAAGGAGATATTCGGTTACAGGAATGTTAGAAAGAGGCAGCAAATGAAAAATACTCCCAAGCTTCTTAATTAGCTTACCACACCTTCAATTTACTAATGTCCAGACGCAATTAAGCGATTCCATGCTAACCTTCTTTCATAAGCAGAAGAAAGGATTTTTTTCCCACCCAGCACAGGCATCTTCATGTACTCACTGTTGAACAGCAATGAAAGGTGTCTTTAGATCAGGGGAGCAGGGCACTCAGGGAAAGCAGCAGGAACCCATCCAGGGGGCTTTGCCAGGCCCTGAGTAGCATTTTATAGCCCATGCTATGGTCTGATACCCACACAATAAGGGTCTAAGTGCTGTAGAGAGTCACAAGCCGATGCTGTGGCACAATATGTGATGAAATGGACTTCAAAGAGCTGGGAACTGAATCTTTTTCAGCTAAAGAGACTGTTCTTTGTGTCACAGCCCGTGGTGTATGGATTTGTGTGTCCTGCCTTGCTGCACTGATTGTGACATATGGTGCACATGTTGCTGTCGTGTGTCAGCTCAGACTCCTGGGGCAGCAACAGAGACTCCTGGATTAGAGGCCTCTTTTCAGGGGATGGTGCATTATGGTGGGAGAGGAAAGGGGCTTGGAGTTACAGGGCAGAGGACAGACTGTCTGAAGGGCTGCTGCAGGAGTGTGTAAGAGGCTGTGATAAGGGGGAGGTAGTAGGTGATCAGTACTGGCTGGCAGCAACTGGGCACCTGCCTGTACTGTGAATTGGGGCAGCTGCTATCTGCTAACATCAATCCCAAAGGGGAGACAAATGCGTGCACTGCAGCATATGGAATAAAAGCCCTAGGCACTTCACTGTGCCACCCAGGAGGGGACGTTTCAGCTTGGGAAGTGACACGGAGAAGCACAGAAAGGTTGTCTAGGCAAGCTTGAAACACTAGGAGATAAAAACCACACAAAAGAGGGGAAGTATTAAGTGTCATAGAAGGCTGGTAACTCACTTGAGAAGCCAGAGACTTTCGAGAGGAAGATTGAAGAGATAAAGGACATGGGTTTGAGGAAGTGCAGAGAATCACAGAATATTCTGAGGTGGATGGGATCCACAAGGATCATCAGAAGTATTCTGATGAAGGAGGGGCCCTGACTTCACGTTCCTAAGTTGCATTCTTTGAAGGTGGGTAGCTTTGAGAATAGAGTCTGCCTGATTTAGTCCAAGACCAGAGCATTTAAGACTCGTGTTTGCAAGCTTTTAGTGCCAAAGTGAGCACTACTCAGGCACATACAGTACCTGGCACAGACACACAAAATCCATGCTTAACAAAGACCAAAACCAAAACATGTTATTAATGAAATACTTCAGGAAGCCTAGCAACACACTGCAAAAGGGACCTTGTGGGCCTGATTTCTCTTCATAGATAACTATTTCATAGTCATGTCCATAAACTTATTAAAATCTAAGGAGTATTTTTGATTTCTTCCTCCTATTAATATTCCAGAATCTTTTGTTTAGAAACTTAAACTATGGCCAAGCCACACACACCCCTATTTGCTCAAGGCATTATTGTTCTTTTGTTTAAATATGCCTTCTCACTCCTTGTGTTTAATTCACTCTTGTATTTATAGAGTACAGTTGCATTGTTCCTTAGCCTTTATTCTGCTCAAACAGTTTACTCCTGTGTATTAGAGTGCCCTGTGCTAATCTCTGTAGCCGTTCACCGCACCTGCTCCAACTGAATCCACATCTTCCAACATAGGTGACAAGTATTGTAAATGGAATTCCAGGTGCAGTTTTACAAGTACAACAGCATTAATATTTCCCTGTCACTCTTGAAAAATTCTTCTGCAGAACGCTCTGGAATCACACTTGTGTTTTACTGAGCCACATTTCACCATACCAATAGCTCAGAGCCAATTTATGATTAACCAATGCACTCAGGGCTTGCTCTGCCTCTTTTGCTTTCAATGGATAAGCATTTCCCGTATGAGCTGAGAGCTCATTATTAAACCTCTGGGTTCATGACCCTGCACTCCTTCTCGTCACTGCTATTCAAATTATCGGAGTTTTCCAGTTTTTCCTGTAGAGTCCAACTCTCCACTGTTTTGACAGTAACTCTCAGTTTCATGTCGTCAGAAACAAAGAATGTGTCCTTCAAATAACTTTCCTTATCACCATAGCTTTACCCTCATTGCAATCATTTTTCAAGCCATTGCTGCTAATGGAATTAGAGCAAAATAAAATCCAGTTTCTCCTGTATGGCGTCTGTAAGCCTCACCTGTGCCTTGATGAATCGTGACGATGCACCCATCTATTGACAACAGCAAATACAGGTTGAGGAGCTGCAGCCAACCTTAACAAAAACTTGGAGGTTTGGCCCTCGCTCTAATCCACGATTGGCTTGCTTGGAAAGCTAAAAGCAAACAGAGGCCCATTGCAATAAACACTGTGCAAGGATATCAAGAAAAGAACTTGCCCCTGAAAAGAGCTTACATCTATTGTGCATCTATCCAAAACCTCCATAAAAACCCCAACAAAAAAGCCACCCTAGGATAATGAGCTATTGTATCCACAGCACTGGAAACACAAGAGCCTGAATGATCCACTCTCAATTGTGAACAATGGAAACACGCTGAATCACTAAAACCAAACCTTCAATAGGCAAAATGCAGCCTTGTCACTAAGACAAACTGCTAATAACAACAATGAGGCTTGGAACAGCTTGTATGGAGCCCAACTGGCTCTCATACTTCAGCTGAAGTTCATCCAAAGTTGAACAGGGAGGTCTCCAGATGGTCACTGCAACTGGGGTTGGAAGGAGGTGCCATTATGTTACCTTCTTGTTCACACACAAAGTGTAGAATTTTGTTCAGTGATGAAAATTAAGACTTACCCCAGAGGAGTGGACAGGACAAGCCATGAAGGAAAATGGCATCACTTACACTGGGAAGATACTACTTTAAAAGGATATTCTAGTCATAGCACTTTGACAATTATTAACTTGAAAAACAGGGGGGCAAAAGTACAATTGTGTTTCAAAGTTTGTGCTGTGCTTTTTTCTCACAGCATGTAAAATAAATGTATTTTATGAAAAACAATTTCTTTTAGAGAAGAAAACATCTAACTTCACAGTATTTAAACAGATAAAAAACAAAATTCTCTATTGAAGCCCCAGTCAGGGATGCAACAGACAGAGGGACATCCACATCGCTGAACTGAGCTGCAAGCTACATTTCCTTCCAGGTCTTCCATTTAGGGTTATATTTGTGTCTGTTCCCTATGCTTTACAACCACACTGACAATATGGACTTTGCCAATACAGCCTGCCTCAGGGAGAGCACAAAATACCTCAAAAATTCCTTCAGGGAGAAGCATCATCTCTGAGTCAATCTACCTGCTCCCAGGGACACCAGCTTGCCTACTTGCAGACAAGTGGAGGTGGGAAAGCTCTGGTCTCCACTTGCTTGGTTACAGAACAAGTCAGAGAATATATTTAGGAGGAATAGCTGTCCCTGAGAGGACTGTCCATTACAACAGGGCAAAGACTGTCTTTGGGAGATTTGAGGGCAGACCTGGTGCCTCTCCAGAAGTGTTGGCTTCCAAGGGCTCGAGGAGAAATTTGTGTTTCTTCATTTCTCATGCCAGTCTTGAATCTTAAACTGATCACAAGGTTCTCAGAGCACTCTTAGTAGCATGCACATGGTGAGTGTGAGGAACATATAAAAGCCACAAGGGTTATGTGAAACACCGACTATGCAGTTAAAGCAATAACATATCCCAAAGTCTGCCACAGAGAATGTGCTTAAACATTCTCAGATGGGAACAAATGCAGCTCTGCTCATTCCTGTTTGATTTGGGTCGTAAAGCACGCATCTGACAGAATCACCCTCTAAGCCAAGAAAAAACATTCACCCTGTGTTGTAACCAACACTGCTGCACCTCTTTACCATGAGACCATCTCACCTAAGGGTGGCCCAGCAGGACCACAGCACATTCTGTCAGAAGGGACTTCCTCACAGAGCAAGCAAAGAAGCTGTACTGTCTTCAGCCAAAGAGAGGGGAGATTCCACCTCCTAGTATCTCTCTTGGGGGAGGAACTCAGTGAAACACACTATTCTTAAACAAAAATACTCTTTGTTTTGTACCCAGATTATATACTGAGACATTGCAGGTGCCAAGTGTATTTCTCCCACTCTGCATGTTTTTCTTGAAAATCAAATTCCCCTTTTCTAGTACATACCACAGGAGGGAAGGGTGGTAGTGGGGAGTTTGTAACATGCCTTAAGAAATGAGGGGAGGCAAATGGAATACCAAAGGAGGAAATAATTTTTGCAAACAAGTCAGCAAAATATTCTAATGCGTTTGGTCTTCAAGCACAGTTACATTTACAAACAGCCTGATGACAGGAAGGTGTGTTGCTCCAGTTCCACTGCCTCAGCAAGACTGGATTGGAGCAATGAAGGATTAGGACCTGATCTAACATGCTTTGAACCTGGTAAAAACCAGGCTTCAGCTGAACCTGCACCGAACTAGCACCCTAACTGAAAATAAAGAAGATAATTTTTCTCTTTCTGCATTGAAAGTGAGACCCTAAGACAAATTATGGCATAGAAGAACTTTAGGAAACTACTGCTCTTCTCTGCGCAACCTTTGCACTTGTCGTGTAGAGCAGTTCTGAATCCTGCTCTTCATCACCACTAACTTTATTTCATTCAAAATCAAGATTTCCTAATGCATCTGACTGACAAACATAGAAATCATTGATTGATCAGAGATGATGCAGGAAATCTTTCAAAACTGGTTCTGCTTGGTGTAAACGGAATGGTCATGCTGTTGTCAAGAAGAGACATCAGCAAATACAGTAATGCATTCTTTACACTGAAAGCATGGTCATTTCCTAAACCACTGGCAGTGGCTTTTATGACCAAACTCACTAAACAAACATCACATTTCCATGCAGTCTAGTACTACCAGACTGTGTGTGCTATTGAATTAACAACATTTTGAAGCCCTTTTAAGGCATATTTCAATCTTACTAAAGATATGAGAATTTAACTCATCTCAAGCTTCTTTTCTTACAACCAGAAATTGCTGTCATTGCTCTAAGTATCAGTACAATGTATGGGTAGGGGAGAAGAATACTAAGTACCACTTAATTATTCTATTGATCTATTTCATTTTAAAGTCTTTTTTCTAGGACCTGCTGCAAGCACTAACCTTTTTCTGTAATTACCACTAAAGAACATTGACAAGAAACAGTCCTGAAAAATTATGAACTCTCTGAAGATGACATCTGAGAATGAGCTTAATTATTCATGAATAGCCTTTGCAGATATCTAACTGTTTCTATAAGGCTAACATTGATAGGTCCCTACTCACATGCCACTTTCATAACATCTGACATATTTTTCTATTTTCAGTAAGTTAATCTTTACTGATAGGCAGGATGGACTGATTTTCCCTGCTTTACCATGGAAGACCAGGTGTGTAGAAAAACTGAAGATATAATTTTCAAACTGATCTTTTTCAGAAATGACTTAGCTCTCTACCCATGGCACTACTTCAGAAAGCTTGGTCAGCCCTCAAAGTTGAGGTTGCCTTCCAGGACCCTGATGAAACATTACAAGGACAAGGCCAGTACTCAGAGACTGCACTTGCATCACTTTGTAATAAATAATATTTCTTAGTATTTTGCTGAAGGAGGTTGTATTTATTTTAGTGTTCTATGCTGTTTTCGTATCACTCCCACTTTCTACACAAATGTCAAATACCATCCAAGTAAAAAAAAAAAAATCAGTCTACAACTTTAAATATACAATGGTAACATTATAATATTTATCAGCCACCTCTTATAACAACATTACAAAGCTCTCAAGTTAGTTTGATTGGGAGCACTTTTCCATCAATTTGTTGACACTCGTTAGTTGTTTTCAAATTGTTATCAGTCCAGTACCCCCATCATGGTTTCTGCTATTTTTCCTATGACTAAGATCCAACAGACTTATGGTTGGCAGTGCCCACTGAAATCCTAATGGGTCTAACAGGTTAGCTGCCTTTCTTTCTTCCTGGGGTCTTCCCCAGTGGCCACAACAACACTCACCACTACAATCTCTCGGCCGCACTCTGTTTCCTGGAGCAAATCTATGCATTTTCAAATGTTTAGGTGCAATTCAGCAATCTTTGGATTTATTACCAGAGGGGAAGATAAAGAGTCATATGACATGGCTATGACATCTCTCTGCTTTGTATCTATAGATATCCTTAAATCTCTGCTCTGCTGTTAGTGAGCCAATGGCACTGGTAGGTGACCAGGAGCACAGCTGGGCTGAGAAGCGAAGGTGGATTTTTATTCTTAAGAAAGCTTAGGGCTCAAGTGTTTAATATCTTATCCCACTCCATGTATTTAGTATCTTACCCTATGGAAAGAGCTGTATCCACTTTTCCAGTTAGAATTTTATGTCTTAAATTTGTCACTCTCAGCCTCCCCATTCTTCCACTCATTTTATATTCACAGAGAGAAGGATTATTGTTTTAACAGTTTCCTCTCAGCCAGGATGTTGTTGTTTTTCTTGAAAGTAATGAATCCATATTCTTTCCCAGTTATGGCTTATTAGGTAACCTGTAAAATAGTCTTAGACATTTTACAATTAAAATTTACACTTTTTCCCCCAACTGGATTGCTTTCCACTTTGTGAAATTGTATCAGCTAAAGCTACTAATTTGCATTTTGTTTGCCTTGAACAAATATAATCAAGTTATGAATATTTTTAGTTACTGTACTACTAATTTTCAGCACTGTGGTACCTCCCCTCTGCTGATGCAAAAGTCTAGTCTGGACTTTCCCTAATACCTGGAGCAATCATTTTTAAGAAAGAAAATTAAGGATGTTATTTAGTGATTCTGAAGATGCTTCAGTGCTGGCAGCATGAAACTGCCAGCATATGGCATTTGGATTAACATCTCCCACAAAAACTGTAACTTTCTTTTTCCTCCTATACATTATAGATAGTAATTGAGAGAGCCAGTCACCCATTCCCCATAAAAAGTAGGGGTTTATTTCTCTCACAGAGAGAAACTCCTACTTTGCACTTTTCACAGTCAGAAATCAGTCCATGAGATAATTTCTTTGCCATTTGTCACTAGTAAATTAATTAATCATGCTTTTTTTTTTTTTTTTTGGTCATAGTGTGCCATTTCTCATCGCCTTCTGTCCACTAAACCTTTCTTAAGAGATTATAACCAGTGATTTAAAGATTTCAGTCACCAGAAAAATTCCCATCAAGTTCCAGCAATGCCATCTCTATTGAATTTATGCTCATAAATGAGCAATTCCGGTTCCTCTGTTTATTATCTAAGACCCTTGCATTGGCTTAAGCAGCTTTCTCCTTATCATGGCCTTGGGCATGTGAGTTGGTTTTATTCACCACAGCACAGCTTGGGCTTAAATAGATGCTCGTTTTTTTCCTGACAGTCCCTTTCTCACAGAGGCAGAAGCAGGCAGAGTTTCCCCCAGCAGGCTCAGAGGCTGTCTGCTTACCAGGAAACCCCCAAGAAGGGGAACCTCCCCAACCTCCCTTCTACCCTGCAGCCAAAGGCAGGAGACATTAAACAAATTTATACCTGCTACCTTTCTTCAGCATGGACAAGTGAGTTCTGTCATTACTCTGGTTAATACTTGACTGTGTGCTGCTTTGCCTACCTCCCCCCCCTTAAAAACAAAACAAAACAAAACAAAAAAAATCTTGCTTCTTGAGTAGTTCTTGCAGCTCAGAGGAGGGTAGACAGGAATGAACTTTTAAAGCGAAAATAATTTTTTGTGTGTATCCATATCCTTGCTCTTAACTTTCATTCTTTTTAGGGAATGTTACATTAAAAATATCAGAGAGCAGCTAAAGGTTGAAGGTTTTTTTATTCCACATAAATTCAGGCATTAATGATGC